ATAGAAAAAATAAAATAAACAAAGATAGTAGTAGATTTGACCATTGTTCGTTATCATCTCTAAAAGTATACTTGAATTCGGCATCGTACCCCTACGAAAACTTGCGAATGGACTTTTCAAATGATAAGTATGCTGTACCATATCACATGTACACTCAATTCCAAGAGGCGTTCTATGAAAAGGAGATGGCGTGTCCAATGCTGACAAAAACAGAATTCAAGACAATTGCTCCACTCATTGTCATTGACTGTTCGAGGCAAAACGAAAAATTAAAAAATGCGCCTGTAGATATTAGATTAGAATTTGAATCTGATGAAAATTTTCCGACCAACACTACAGCATATTGCTTAATTGTACACGACAAAATGTTTGAATATAATCCTATGACTAATGAAGTTCATAAAATATTATAATTNAATCCTATGACTAATGAAGTTCATAAAATATTATAATTTGTTATTTACAAAAAAAAAATAATAATAATAATAATGTAAACAATTTTATTTATAAAATACTAATAATTACTTGAATATATATTTTGCTATTCTAAAGGAATGTGTTATTTACTTTAATACCTTATCTTTATTATATTTCATTTATTTAGTACATAAATCAAAAGCGAATAGTTTAAATAATATAATGTGTAGGCGTGAAAAAACGATGAACGATATCATTTTTTGTCATAAAATATAGCCGACAATGATTATTACTGAACGGCGGTACCTTTGACGTTTGAAATATGCTTACCTAAGCGTCTGGTAGCTGATGATAAAAATTCTTAGAAATGCAGACATGTTATAATATAGTAATACATTCGATGTCTGGAATATGCTGACCCAAGCGTCTGGTAGGTAATGATAAAATTCTTAGATAAAGATAACTTTGATAAAACGCAGACAGCAATTATAAAATGTTGACGGTAATATGAGTCATAATATTGCGGTACCTTTGATGTTGGAAATATGCTTACCTAAGCGTCTGGTTACCCATGATAAAATTCCATAACGACAAACGTTGCCATTGTTCTCATAAAAAAAATTACAGACGCTTATGAGCGATGTAATGTAATGATACCTTTAATGTTTGAAATATGCTTAGCTAAGCGTCTGACACCCGATGATAAGATTCATACGATTTTACTGTACAGTGATCTCTTTGATATTTGAAATATGCTTATCTAACCGTCTGTTAGTCTGGGTTATAATATGGCGGTACCTTTGACGTTGGAAATATGCTTAGCTATGCGTCTGGTAGCCAATAGTAAAATTGTTATAATTTATTTATTATATACATTCTATAGATGTGCGACAAATTAGTATAAGTCTTGTTTCATCACCACCCATTATAGGTTAGTTTAATTCAAGATTCATTACCCCTTCCTATGTAGGAATTGTTAACAGACACCCCTGCGGCGTTAATATTATGCAATTGAATTACACTATTTCAATGTTATGTGTACGCTTATCAGTGAACGTTATCAGTTCACATGAGGTTTACCTTACCCTCCAGTAGATGACATCGTAAGAGGAGAACAACCATTTCCGAATGGCTACCCCCCTCCCTGACACGGAGTTATAGTGCGCATGCGCACTTTAAACCGCCATTTTCATTGATCTTAACATACCTACCAAGTCACCTATTACCCCTACCATCGTAAGACCACGCCTCCCCTTACACCATCATTGATAAGACCACGCCACCTCCTTTCCCCCACCATCATAAGACCACGCTTCCTTTCACTATCTATGATAAGATCACGCCTCCTCTTACCCCATCATTGATAAGACCACGTTTATTGTATGACCTTGACCACGGTCATTACCTCCCCACCATGGTGAGACCACTCCACCCCCTCCCACATGTATGATAAGACCACGCCTCCCCTTACCCCCATCATTGATAAGAACACACCTCCCCTTAACCTATCATTGATAAGACCACGCCTTCTCCTTACCTCCACCCTCATGAATGCAATCCACCATTACCCCCACCATTGAGAGACCACGCCCACTGTGTGACCTTGACAACGGTCATTACCCCTACCATTGAGAGACCACGCCTCCCCTTAACCTATCATTGATAAGACCACGCCTTCTCCTTACCCCCACCCTCATGAATGCAATCCACCATTACCCCCACCATTGAGAGACCACGCCCACTATATGACCTTGACATTACCCCCGCCATTGAGAGACCACGCCCACTGTGTGACACGCCCCTCCCCCCCGACCACGCCCACCCACCGGCGGGTGTGTAGGTGAAGGGGTGAGGCGGGGGGGTTCTAGAATTCCCAATATTACCCTACTTATATGTGTTAAACATTAGTGTTTGAAATAAATTATATTTCAAATTCTAACGTTTAATTTTTTTCTCACCTTATTTTGTTTAATTTGATTTTTGTAAACTTCTTTTGCTATATAGTCATCTGCATGCATTATTATTTGTTGCGTGAAATCTGGTTCGTTGGCATTTATATTTATACAAGACGGAAATTTTTCATGATCACGAATAAATTTTTTTATTGAATTTTCTGATAACTCCTCTATTTTTTGCTGTAAAAAATAACTAATTGTAGTTTCGACTTGTGATTTAATAACTTTTTGCCCATATGATAATTTTTGTACAACAGATTCATGAATAACAAATTCTAGTTCTTGAAGTTTAAGTACGTTTCTCGCAGTTAGTAAAATTCTCGAGTCTTTAACAACTCTTGATTGAAGTATTATAACATTTTCTGTTCTATAAAACGCTTTTGAGATAACAACATCCGGATCCTCATTTATTAACACACATTCGGACTTAATAGGTACAGTCGATAAAACATTAGACAGCAACTGCCCCATGTATCCGAATAAACGATTAATAAAACCCTCATTAATGCATATATGTCTCCAAGGTGTGACAATATGTGCTTTAATTTATAGTGTAATAGAATCAAATCCAATTTGAATAAACTTACGTTCTCTGAAATCAATGTTGAATGATGTAACGTCCAATAATTCGGAAGGTGGATTTGGTGGTGTGTATTTTGGCCATCTATTCAGTATCTTTCCGAAGTCATTTTTTCTTATGTACGAGACAGGATAGTCCATGTTAGAAGAGTTTCTGTAAGATGTGAACATGTTCATGTTGCTGACTCGATGTTGACGGTGTTAAACTGTAAAACTTATATCGAGTAATGAAGTATTTTACTCTATTTTATAGCTCATAGAGAGATTCTAACTGAATCACTCAACCAATGAAATTATTATATATATTTTTTTTTAATTTAAGTAGGGATGAAAACACCCACACATAAATGTTTTTAACAGGTTAAGACCTCCCCTCGATTTGATATCGATGATTTTTTTTAACCTTCTAAGAAGTTTATTCATAAATAACGAACCCCATATAGAGAGATATTCAGAAATCTCTAAAGGGGGGTGGGGGGGTAGGACCCATTATATATTAAAAATATGAACACCTGTATTAGCCAGTAAAAACTAAATTCGATTCGGTCAATTCTCTATTTTAACCTTCCAAGAAGTTTATTCATATATAACGAACTCTATAGAGATATTGAGAATTCTCAATAGGAGGTAAATCCATTATATTAAAAAAATGTGAACACTTGCATTAACCAGTAAATACCAAATTCGATTCGGTCAATTCTCTATTTTAACCTTCTAAGAAGTTTATTCATA